TTTTAACAATGGCTACCAAGAAAGAAAAATGATTCTGATTTTACTGGCTTGTGGTGTATTTATTTGGGTTCAAAATGGGGAAATAAATGTGTTTCCCACACCAAAAATATTTCGAACTAATAGTATCTACTGAATTAACAGAATAACAGAGTTGGAAGGGACCTTGGAGGTCTTCTAGTCCAACCCCCTGCTTAGGCAGGAAACCCTACACCATTTTCAGACAAATGGTTCTCCAATCTCTTCTTAAAAACTTCTAGCGTTGGAGCATTTGCAACTTCTGGAGGCAAGTTGTTCCACTGATTAATTTTTTCAACTGTCAGGAAATTTCTCCTTAGTTCTAAGTTGCTTCTCTCCTTGATTAGTTTCCACCCATTGCTTCTTGTCCTGCCTTTAGGTGCTTTGGAGAATGGCTTGACCCCTCTCTTCTTTGGGGCAGCCCCTCAAATAAGGGGAACACTGCTATCATTCCTACTCACGTTATGCATGCATACTCACTTTATGACTGGATATTTTCTCCTCCTGAGCATTCTTCAACACCTCCATTTTTACCAGGATGGATCTGAGCTGAAGTCTCAAGGTGAGTAACCTTTCCTGTGGATATAATGTGAAGTTACAGCTGCATTTTTAGCCTGATTAAAAAGCAACCTCTCTCAGCCCCAAATCCTTAGCCTTCAAAAGTGGGTTATCATCATCCTTGAAATGTGGGTCATTTCAAACAGAACACCAGTGGGTTGGTTTTTTTTTTTAAGCTCAAAAACCTTCAGCAGTGTAGACTTCAACTCTCACAATTCCAGAGCCAACATGCTGGCTGTGGAATTCTGGGAGTTGAAGTCCACACCATTTAAAGTGGCTGAACTTGAGAAATACTGCGAAACATTAAGAGGGGGTCTACTGGAACATCTAAAAGGGCCTTCAAAAAGCTTCCCTTGGACCGGATCACAGGACTATTCATGGGATCTGGCCTCAGCACGTCATTTACCGTATATATCTGCACTGCATCAGGGATGAGAAGAAACTGAGTACATTGATCTTTGGGCATCTGAGCTTCTCTGCAGGTGAAACAAGCTAGTGTCCCTTGAGGCTTCCAGTAAAGGGTCAATGGTTCTCCATGCTCCATGCATTTCTGCTGTTGGCCTCCCACGTGACAAGTCTTAACCTTCTCCGCCATCTTTTCCAAGGCTTGGTTGATTATGAACTTGCGGTCTGGAACATTGATGTGACATTCTGGGCAGAAAACGCCCTTTTTATTCCAGGTGGCCTCCAGGCAAGGTTTGCAGAAGTTATGGCCGCAAGGTAGAATGACTGGCTGCTTAAACAGTTCGAGGCAAAGGGAACAGGACAACTCCCTGGTGAAGTCATCTGCATTCAGGTCCCACGAGGTGTTGGACGAGCTGGCAAGAATCGGGCTCACTGCTCGTTCGTTTAGGGAAATGAGTGAGGAAGTGGATGGATTTTTGCTGGTGGAAGTGGACATTGTACTGGAAAGAGCAAACACTAAAGCAACAATCAGAAGGAGGGAAGAAAGCAAGCGTGAGAAGGATTCTCTTAAATGACAATGGTTGGATTAATAGATCACCTACCTGGGGTCACCTCCAATTGTACGATCCTTAACCAAAATAAAGTTTATTATCTGATGAATTTGCTAGATTCTAGCTAGAATTGTTGGATATGAGATGAATGGCAACTAAATATGATAAAGGGATAAATAGATTAGATAGATAGATAGATAGATAGATAGATAGATAGATAGATAGATAGATAGATAGATAGATAGATAGACAGACAGACAGACAGACAGCTAAAGATAGCGGTAGATAGATGATAGTGAGAGATAGATCGATGAAACGAGAGAGAGAGAGACAGACAGACAGACATGAGAAAGAGAGAGATTTTGAACAATAGGTGATATGTTGGAGTATAATTCCCAGGATTAAGTCCTTCTGATGAAAATCCTGAGAGATAATACACCTACCCACCCTTGCCAAAGTGGTCAACTAAGAAAGACTGATGTTTGCCATCTCCTGTTAAATTCTCGTGCCTGTTTTTTTTTAAAAATTGAAAAATCAGAGTAACCTTTGTAAACCATCAAAAGATTTCACTGGTTAATTTGGCCAGTTGATTGGCTACATATTACAAATTAGAATGATATAGCAAAGAGTTACCATATCAGTCTTTCAGTGTCCCAATGTTATTTTTTTTAAAAAACCCACCAATGCCAGTACTTAAGAATGACAGGTTGTTCCCAGGATGCTGACCTTGATATGAAAGTGAAGTAGCCTCTTCACGTGGGATTTACAATTTACTTTGGACCATCATTTCCCCACCTGAAGATCTTTGGAGGGGTTGGACTGCATAATTCTCATGATCTTCAGCCATTTTAGGACTTCAATGACAGAGCTTGGATGATTCAAGTGACTTATAAATTACAGAGGTACCTTGGTACTCATCATTCATTCCAGGAAGCGCAATGAGTACTAAAAACAATGAATACCAAGCAAACCACATGACTTACCACGTAGTCCTTTATTTCAGTGGGAAGAGGTAATGAGTCACAAGACAGCCAACAGCAACAAGTTGTACCTTACACATCAAGTACCAGGAGAAATGACAAGTACCGGGATAAAATTTTCACTTCAAAACAAATCACGTACCAAATTGGACGAGTTTTGAAGCAGTCACGTACCAAGGTATGACTATAAATGAATAATAATGGCAGCAACAACAACAATCTCAACAGTTGTGGGGACCAGGTAGGAAATTTGACCTGGTGTGGTCCAGACTCAGTCCTTCTACTTTGCTGTTGGTAGATAAATCCAGGTATCTCACCGATTTCTACCTGGTGTTATTTCAGACCTGGAATGATCTCCTGCTTTGAAAATATTTTTCAAAATGCCACACTGGGACCTAGAAGTCACCACCTAGCCCTTCCTCCTTGGGGTGTTTCAAGAAAAATTGATCCTGGCTTCCAATTTCCACCCATTTCTACAAAGATCTATCATTTATGGCATTTCAAGGAATTCACCTATTTTGCAGAATAACGCCTTTGCTTTATTGTTCACAGAAACCTTTGGTTCTTTGCCCGTATTTCCTCACTAACCTGCTTTCAGTATCCTGCCTTGTAACTGCCACTCTCCAACTGCCTTCTTCTTCCAGAAGATTCCATTGGCTTCCTATGAAATGATTTAGTCTCAAACCTCCCCATGAAGCTATCAAAGCAAGAACTGAATAACAGCTGTCAAATGTAATCCAGAGAGGCACGAATTGACACCCATTTGTTTTCATAATCTTACATCGGGGGGCGGGGACCTCTTCCAAATCTTGTTATAATTTTATATTTTATATAGTTATAATTTTGAGACATTTATTTATAAACCAAATAACACCAGGATTATTTACTGACAAAAGAAATCCTCATACAATGCAATTCTTGAGAAATATCATTGCTGAATTATTGTCGGTGCAACTTATTTCACCAGCCGCTGAAGGACTAAACATATGCAGCATGCTAAATTTAGCTGAGAATGTTGGCCAGATCTCATGTAGCTTATGTTGGCTTTTTCCCCCTCCCCCACTTTTCCCATCTCATTAATGGTTTTTAAAAACTGAATATTGTTTTAATTTATTGCTTAAGAGCCATGGAGGCGCAGTGGTTAGAATACAGTATTGCAGGCTAACTCTGCCTATAGCCAGGAGTTCTATCCTGAGGAGCTCCAGGTTGACTCGGCCTTCCATCCTTCCGAGGTCGGTAAAATGAGGACCCAGATTGTTGGAGGAAAGAGGTTGATTCTGTAAACCGCTTAGAGGGCTGTAAAGCACCATGAAGCGGGATATAAGCGTCATGCCCCTGGTGGAGACTGACTCTGAGGGAGAGGAGGAACAGCCCACAGGGAGTAGAAGTGTGGCTCTGGAGGTTGTGCAGGAGGCTGGGGAAGGGCAGAGGCTGGCTGGGCAGTCAGAGGAGGACCCAGGCCCATCCCCTATCCATCCTAGGGCACGCAGGGAGGAGAGGCCCTTGATCCTCTTCATGGGCTGCAGCTGTGACAACTGAATAAGAGAACAGACCTGCGTACGTGCGAGTGCTGGAAACAAAGCGTGGAAATATCTCGTTTATTGTTCCTCTGTCAGTCTGGCATCCTTCCCAGTCTGTGTTCTGATATCTGTGGAGTCTTCAAGTCCTTATCTTGCCTGGTTTATGCTGTTTTTTTAACCCCTTTGTAACTTATAGGCATTTTTAGTTTAAACGGCATTTCTGTCAGCCTTCATGATCTTCTTCCTTTGCTTTGCTTCTTTCTGGCTGTCATGAGTAGCGGGGGGTGGAAGAGGGAAAAGTATGGGAAGTGAGCTGGAGGTGTTACTAACATTGTGTGAACTGGGGAGGGTTTCTATTTCTTGCTTAGCTTTCTCTTCTCTGCGCAACTGCAAACCTTTATCTGAGTAAGCCACGGTCAACTAATCATCACCACCTGGAGATGTCCACATGATGAGGTTCACAACTTTTCACTGGAAGAACCGTTTGAACTATTGGGGGTGGGAACATTTCAATCCCTTGATATATGTGATGTACGTGCCTATTTCCTCAGATTCACAATTCTCTTATTGCTACCACTTCCAGTAAAAGATATCTTTTCTCTAATTACAAGAGTCTAAGTATTTCTTTCTTGGATTTTGAACGGAGCACCAGCTGACATTATTCTGAATCTGAGGAAATAGGCACGTACATCACATATATCAAGGGACTGACAATTTCCTCCTTCTTGTAAATGCTCATGTGGGAGTTTTTTGTCTCCAGTCAAGGATATTCAGAGCTTGGAAGCAAAGTGAAGGAATAAAAGGGGCTTTACCTGTTTTTTTGCGACTGTGTTTATTTTGTATCCCACCCTGGGTCATCACAATAAGTCTATGTGCTATTGTTATTACTATGTAGCCTAATATTTTATTGTAAACTACTTTTGAGGGGTTTCACTCAATCACTCAAAGCCACAAAGAACTTCCGAAGAAAACATTGTTAAACAACTTTTATTGAAGGTATGCATACATTAGTGGAGGAGCATATATGTTGGGTAAGACTGAGCTAATCTATCAGGTAGCAGTTTATAAAAGGAAACTTTATCATTTTTAGAAAATTCCATTCTTCCATTCTTATCTCTGCAATAACAAAAGAAAATACTCTTAACTCCTAAAAGATTTAACATAGCAATAAAGCGAAAGTAATACTTTTCAAACAGATTGATTGATCAGCCATATTTAGGAAATCCCTCCCTCCCTCAGAGTAGACTCTATAAGACTGTGACTCTATATTTATGGTGATGACTCCATATGGACTATGACTCTAAATATAGAAAACTTTTTAAAAAATCATGAGGCCTCAAATCCTGATTTATAGAAACACGCGATGTCCATCTTTGATCCATTCCTGAAAATGCATTGCCTTAAAAAGTTGAAATGGGAGATCTTCAGTCAGCGATAAGCAGAAATAGTTTTCGAAGTCATTCATAAACCGCATCAGCAGAAATAGTAAAGTATAATTCATCAAATCTGGGGGGAGGGGAAAGATTATTTTTACATTAAAAAAACAAGAAATGTGGTACAATACACTATAGACTGGATCGGAAAATCAAATAAATTGATTTTTGTACCTGTGTTTGAGTCTCTCTTAACAGGGCTATATTGAAAATATAAAAACATGCAAACATAGGGAAAGTACTTTTAAAACTATTGCAAGAGTTGTTCAGGGCTCTTGTAAGGATCACCAAAAGATTGTGCAAGGTGTTTTCAACTCTTCTGCTCCCCAAACCTGGCTAAATTATCCAAAATTGAATAAAGTTGGTTTTTCTTTGAGTAAGGACACATGACTGATGAAGCTTCCTAGATGAGAAGCAAAACATCTCAGATTAACTAAGGTTGGTCTAGTTGCCACGTTTTAATCTTTTTGGACACATGAACCCATAACCCAATCACAGCAGGGACTGTGTTTTACCTACAGTGGGTAAAAAGGACTTTTTGATAAGCAGGTAATGAAGGCAGCTCCGCTTTAAAGTACAGAAGAGATATTAATTATGATTATTTTGGTTGTCGTGTTCTATGCTTTTTCACAGTGTATCATATGGATTCTGCACACACATGCACACCTATACATGTATTCCAGCAGGGGAATTCTGGGAGTTAAACTCGGCCCCTTTAAGATGTGTGGACTTCGAGTAACACTGGTCTGAAACATCAGCTTTCTTCTTCTTTTTACAGGTCTCTTTCCTGGTGAAAACTGCTTAAACATGTTGGTTCTCTAGTTTCGTTTCCTTACTGCTTTGTCTTTTGTGACAGCAAGCTGATATTTTACTGCCTGAGTAATAATACGACCCATTAAAATAATGCACACACTTCCGTGTTTCCCGTGAAGTATGTTTTTCCTGAAACGGCCATCTCTTACCTTGTTTGCTGGAGATTACTGGATTAGTAGTTCTGTTCTGTGGAACACAAAGAAAATAAACTTTCAGCACGTATTTCTTGAAATACATATCAAATCATTGGGGGCCTGCAGATTCTAAGCTAATATTTTGCTTCTGTTTTGCACGCTCAACATGAAATTCACCTCCTAACTTTTTATTTTTTTGTCTTAAATTGTTAAAAACAACCTTTCTGGCAGCATTTTCTATCAAGGCTTTTTTTAAAAAATGAGTTAGCCTTTTTCAGAGGAACCTCAAGAAAAATCGTCTTAAAGGAAAAAAAAGTGACGTAGGGAAGAACAGAATCCAGCAGTAGCACATCGATCCACAATAACAGATTCCTTTTCATGATGTTTATAAGAATGGTTGGGAATTGGGCAGTATAAAAGTTTAATCCATAATAATAAAAACAATCAGACTTAACGAACTTATTGTATTTCCTTTTTTTAAAGAAACATGTCTACTGAAATTCTAAGATACAGAACAGGGAAATATGCATTTATCACCTGCAGAGCTCTATTATTATACCCCATGACAATAAAATAGAAGTAGCTCCTGCATTGCCTGTTTTACGTCTGCTCAACTATCAAAGGCTGAAAAAATAAGCCATGGCGTCCAAAGCTGACACTATTCCTGTTTCAGGAAGTAAAGGAAGGAAGGGGGAGGGGAAAAAAAAAAGAAACGGAAGAGAAAGTCAAGTCAAAGTAGTTACCCCATTTCACAATCTGGGGTTCGCGGAACGCCTGGTGTTCCACTCTGCACAAATATTCATCTTTTCCATTGGGAACCACCGAAACGTGAGCCAGAAGCTGGAAGGTCCAATCTTCCTTGAAAGAGAGGTCGGACCGCTGGACGCCGGGAATTTCAACGTTGTTCTTCAGAAGAGTAACGTTGATCTTGGGAGGGTGGAAACCCTCCACAAAGCAGTGCAAGGTGTTCTCCTTGCCGATGGATTCAGGGTGGCGGGAATAGACTTGCACTTTAGGAACCTCTAAAGGTTGAGCAGGGGAAAAAGAAAAAAAAAATAAGAGAAGATGTTGTAAATCCCGGTCATCTGGCCCCTATTGACTCCACCATGCCCAGAGGGCCTTGAGATAAGAATTTTTGTAATTCAGAAATGAATGAGCTGGAAGGGACCTTGGAGGTCTTCTAGTCCAGCCCTCTGCTCAAGCAGGAGATCCTAGACCATCACAGACAAATGGCTGTCCGGTCTCTTCTTAAAAACTCCAATGGTGGAGCACCCATAACCTCTGAAGTCAAGCCATTCCACTGGTTAATTGTCCTCACTCTTAGAAAGTTTCTCCTTCATTCCAGGTTGCTTCTCTGTCAGCGTTCCAGCCAACCTCCATTCCAATCCATAACTCCGAGACAAACATTATCTCAAAGGTACCTTTATTTGGACAGTAAACTGGCACATCTGTGGAATCCCAAATCTGAACGTTTTCGGGCTTCCTTGCAATATTTAAGACTACAAATCCATCCCCCGCTTGGCCGTCATCACATCACATGGCCCCATCACGATCCATCCTAAAGTAAGATCCTTATTTCATCCTGCGCCATACTCAATGACCTTGAACTAACGAAAGAGTTTTATTTGGTCTACTCAGAGCTACTCAACTGAAACCTTCCTTCTCTCACTTTCTCAGGCTTGTGGGAGCATGGAAGCATCGGATCTCAATATGGCTTCCAAAGCTGGCACTTTCCTTGATGAGTTTCCAACCAATAGATTTGGTCCTCCGATGCTGCTTCCGGAGAGAACATGATTTCCAACAGCTGATCTACCCAGGTAGCTTCAGGCAAGCAATGCACAATAACTGGGCCACCTCTTTAGAAAAGATAAAGGGGGACTTTTTAAAAAAGAAAAGAAAAAAGCCAAGACGTGAGTTCCCAAATGCATCCTTTGGCCACAAGCAGGATTCTCCTGGCTCGGTATAGGTGGCCCTCAACATACAACCATAATTGTGGTTGCTAAGCCATGCAGTCCTTAAGCAAATTATCACATGACCAGACCCAATTTTTATTACCATTTTTATTATGGTCGTTAAGTGAATCAGAAGCAGGCTGGGAATTAAGATCATGCAGGGTGGATAAAAATCTATTTTTTAAAAATATATATATATAGTTTTTATTTTTATCAAATTAATTTTAATAAAATGCTTTTGGGGTAAAAATCTATCCAAAGATAGTTTTCTATTTAAGATATATTCATAATTTAGTTTATTCGGCATGAAATGGAGCTTAGTTCTGTAGCACGAGGCTGTATATCCTGCAATATTGAGACTGTCGCTGAGTCAACCGCAGCTCAGAGGAGCTGCTGCAGGATGGTTGCTCTTTAAAAATTATGATTTAAATCAGGGGTGTCCAACCTTTCACCTTCCCTGGGCCACATTAGAAGATGAAAATTTGGTTTGGGCCGCACATAAAATAAAATAACAGTAACGATACCTGATCATC